CCGCCGCTTCGCACGCACTTCGCACAGCTTCCTCCGTAGCCTTTCCCCTGTTCGAGCACCCCTCTCCTCCATTTCTTCCATCCTCGGCCCCTTCTTCCTTCTGACCGTCGTCGTCCTCGACCAAGGCCAGATGCACGAGCCGCAGCGTCACGGAACCGGGCATATCCACCAGCGCCTTCTCCTCCAACAATATCCTCGCACCTTTGATTCCCCCGCCTCCCGGCAAGGTGGCCTCGTCGCGCGCCCACTCTGACCACGCATCAGCAGGGAGAAGGTACGTGGCCGCAAAAGCGTCTCGGGTGGACCGCAGCTTCTTCAACACTTCCAAACCCGCAGGCCTGCCGACGAGGGAGTGAGCGACCCCCCGCAAGGTCTCGACACAGGCTGCGTACGCATCATACGACGGGTGCGTGGGTGGGTGAGCGCCGCCGGGTTTGCGAGACTCTCTACCAGACGGGGTAGGAGAGGCCAAAGAGTCCAGTGCGCCGGTTACCAGGGCCAGGGCCTCCTCCTCGTGCACATCGCTATCCGCCAAGTCATTAACCCTATCGGATTCGTAGGCTTCTGCACCCTCTCCAGCGCCGGTGTCACTGCTGCTGCTGCTATTACAACTTCCAGTGCAGGAGGAAGAGATGGAGGCGTCGTCTTGCTCCATCATTACTGCGCCTTGGCTTCCCTTCCCCTCTGTATTGGCCCCACCCTCCTCCTCATCACTGCTCATTGCTTCGATGCGACGGCATGCCATAGTTGCAGGGTTCCTTGTGGTCTGGAATAATATTTTTTAGAGTATAGAAGCCCATGTGGTTAGTATACAGAACCCGGGACGCGACGAGCCTCCACCTCGACCTCGCTGCTTCCTCGCCGACACCGCAACGCACAGGGGCCGTGCTTGCCTGTTAGGGGAACTTTTCGTTCCCCCCCCCCCTGCAAAACCCATCACCTGCATGCGAATGATAATAATTGTTGCAATTTAAGTGGCAACTATCAAATCAAAAGTTGAATGCAGTTCTCTGCATAGCGTGTTATGTGTACCAGGCAACGTCCTCACCCAAGTCAGTCGCCTGCTACTAGTAGCAGTACAGGGGGCGTGCTGGGTGCCTAACTCCATGCATGATTGCTCTCACATTGTATCAACGGGTCCAGCCTATCGAATGTTTTAAATGTTCTAGCGTTATGTCGTTACTGTAGTGCCGAGAAGGTCGTCAAGGCTGGCGTCGCTCGGGTTCAAAATTTCTGACTGTTGCACTCCTTATTTTCCCATTTTCATTAATGATTGAGCAGAAATTGACTTTAGGTCTTACATTCATCATGAACAAGCACCTTCAAGATAGAATTTTAACTGGACGTAGAGATTTCTTCATTAAATTTCCTTCATTTTTAAATCGTTTATTCCAATTCCTATTCTTCATTTTCGTACGTCCATTTCGATTTTGTATTTTGCGATTCGTGGATTTTCTTCATGCAATTGATAGAAATAAGAGACTGTTTTCTCAGAGCTTTTTGTTTGCTAGTTTTCAACACCTTTCATCAGATTAACATAGAATTTCTTAGGTTTGGAGTGCATACACAATATTGCTCGCAAAGGTTGAGCGGGGATACGTTCGAGGAATTTTACCCCGCATAGAATTAGTGATTGCCTGCACATCCACAGAACATCTTGTATCGTGATTAATACACCGAATCCAAGAATGAACTGAATACATTTCGGTGGCATGCCCATCATTGCAAAGATTTTTCATCGTGCTAAGATATACGGAGCGTGAATAATAGGTGTCATTGAGTTTTGTTACGTAAACTAAACTACATTCAGTTCAAAGAGTGCCTACAATATTAATTTCACTAGGGTTACGTTCGCAAACGCACGAGCTACGTTCGGTGGAAGTGGCTCGAAAGAATCGCCAAACCATTGTTGGGTCAAATGACTGAAAAAGATTTGTGATTTTTAAGAAAGTCTTCAACACGGGCGACGAGCTTACAAAAATTAGCACATATTGTGTCTGGTGTTCAAATAGAGCTTACAAAAATTAGCACATATTGTGTCTGGTGCATAAGTAGACATTTCATTACAGTTCTTTCACTTGAACCGGCAAGTTGTGGTAGCTGTGGTCTGGCGCAGAAACCATAAGCCATACATTGAAGATAAATGGAGAAGAGGAAAATGTTACAATGAAAAATATGATCTGAGACCGCTGTTGCAGTCTAGTGTGAAACCTTGGAAGACTGAAGGCTAGACTAAATGAGGAAACATGCTGTGAGGAATAGGTTTAGTGAGGAGGTCTCCAACACTTCTCGGCCATAAAGCTTTTGTATCTATAAGCTGACATATGTACTGAGACACCATATCACCAATCGAAGGGGAAAGCAGAGGTGTGGTAACGCCGAGACAAAATTAAGAGAAAATGTGGTACGCGTCTGTCCTAGCTGGCTTCCGGGAACCTTAGATGCAAAGATATCCCCCGAGAATTTCCGAATACCCCGACGACCGAACCATAAGGTCCATGTCACGAACTCAATAAAGATGCACACCCCGTGCAGAAGCTATATAAAGCATCGCGCATTCATGATACTGAACCAGTGCGAGGTAGTAAATTGTCCTTTTATTTGCCGATGTGCTCCTTTTCCTTTCGTGAGTGAGGCATGTTTCTTGCTCAACATTATAGGTCAAAGCACCTCTTTGCTTGAAAAGCGAAGCAGGAGAGTTTCTACTTGCCTCTAGAAAATCTGCGCTATTCAGTTTTTCGTTGCTGCTCTAATCATACAAGATGTGTCCTTATCCAGATCCTAGAGATAATTTCTGGCTTCTGGTGTCCGCATCGGATTCAGTGACGTCACTTGGAGTACTACGGGAAGCATCATTACTTGAATCCTCGATTTGTGACTTTGGATTTCACAGTCACGCTACGGACATTGCCAGGTCTCTCCTCTCCGTTCTTGATCTTAAATGTCCTGTTTGTGGGGAATCGTGATCGCCATTTTGAGCTGCGGAATACATACATCAGCGTTTCCGCGCGGCGATGATGTAGCTTCCCAATGGATGGACAAGTGTGAAGCGGTGAGTCTGTCCTCTCTATCCTAAAAAGCATTGTTTCTCCGAATGCATACCGATCCAAACTTTTTCCCTTTCTCCCATTTGGACTATTCATGACCTTTCAACCTGTAATCCAATGTCTCCCGAAGGCTTTAGCGCGTCGCTACCAGGACTCTCAGGCTGCACCTTTCTGCAATGATTTGCTTCGACACATCTTTATCATTGTGTCGCCAAAAATCGGTGATAGAAGTGGAAACTACGATCTCGAAGCTGTGGACACGTTGGGCATAGTCATGACAAGCCACAGCTGGACTGAGGAGGGAGCGGCGGGGACGAGGAAGCCAAAACGTCCAGAGCGGCCTGACATGCGGGAGGAACCGCAGACGCTGGCATTACCGACGGGACGAAATAATGAAGCCAAGGTCGATGAGAAAGAGGAAGAAAAACCGTTACCTGGCCGGCGGTCTTTGAGGGTGAAGCATTCGAGCAGCATGGGGGGGCCCCTGGACACGGATAGCAGGGGGTTCTCCGAGTTCAAAGAGTGAGTGCGGCGGGCGAAGGAGGAGGGCAGAAGGAATTACCGATAGAAAGGAGATCAGAGGTTGAAGATCCACAGCATTGAAATGGGCTCACTCTTGATTGCTCCTCTGTCTTCCCTCCTGCCTTCATCCCGCCTCGTGGCCCCTCAGAGTTAAAGACTTCGTCAACCTGGGCCTCGCCTTGATCTGCGTCCTGTTCGCTGCCTTAGCCTCGGGGTTGACAATCGGGCTCCTTTCCATCGACACGCTGGACTTGGAGATCAAGCAGCGCGCCGGCACCCCCACGGACAAGCACCACGCCGCCGCCATCCTCCCCCTCCTCGCCCACCGGCACCTGCTCCTGGTCACGCTCCTTCTGTTCAACTCCATGGCTGCCGAGGCCCTACCCCTAGCTTTAGGCGAGCTGGTGCCAGGTTACGTGGCTGTCATCCTCTCGGTTACCGCCGTCCTTTTTTTCGGGGTACGAGGCACTTCTTGCCCTTTTTTCCTCCCATGTCTTCCGCCCTCCCTCGCTTTCCTTCTCTATTCCTCTGGGACGGGCGCTTTCTTAAAATTTATAACGATCCTTTTGCAGCTTCGTAGGTACGGGTCAGAGAATTTCCAAAATCTGTACACACGCCCTCCCTACCTTCCTTTCTTCCCTCTCCAGGAGATCCTCCCCTCCGCCGTCTTCTTGGGTCCGAACCAGCTCAAGCTTGGCTCTCGCATGACCCCACTGGTCTGGGGCCTCATCTTCCTTTTCTTTCCCATCGCGTGGCCTATCTCCTTGGCCCTGGATAAAGTCCTGGGGGGCGGGAGCGAGGGCGGGAGGGAGGGAGAGGAGGGCGGTGGGGAGATTGGACACGGGGGTGCCAAGCGCTACTCACGCGAAGAGCTGGCTGCTCTGATCGAGATCCACCACGACAAGACAGAGCGGGCCAGGGACAGGGGGGTGGGGAAAGGGATGTTCATCTCCTGGGTTGCGAAGGGGCGGGCGGGAAGGAAGACGAAGGCGGGGAAGGCGGCAGGAGGGGCGCGAAAGATGGAGCAACCTGAGTTGGAGGGTAAAGAAGTGAGAAAGGAAGCGACAGAGGTGTCGCAGGATGGGGAGGGATCCTTTCTGGGAGGCACGGCGGGCATTAACGGGCTGGCCGACGAGTCCCCCCTCCTTCCCCCCGCCCAGGCGGGCACCCGGCTGAGCAGAGCCTCCTCCGCCACCGCCACCTCCTTCGCGGTGCCTTCCCCCGCCCCGCCGCCCCTCATCGCCCGGCAATCCTCAGGCCACGTATCGTCCCTTGCATTCGCCAGCCCGCCTCTCCCCCCCCCCCGTCCAAGCCCCCTCCCCTCCCCTCCTCCCAGTCCGGCACCTCGCTCCTGCCCCCCCCGTGCCCCTCCCTCCTCACCCACCGAGAGGTCTCCCTCGTCCTCTCCTCTCTGCACATGATGAACAGACAGGTGGCAGAGTGCATGACTCCCTGGTCCGACGTGTGCTGCGTGGCCATCCCTCCCTCCCTCCCTCCCTCCCATCCCTACCTCCCCCCCGAGCTCCTGCCTTCCCTCCTCGAGTCCGGCTTCACTCGCGTCCCAGTCTACCAGCGCCTGCCGGAGGAGGCCGAAAAACAGGAAGGGCGTGCGAGCCGGCGGTGGCTGCGGGGGTACGTGTACACCAAGCCGAAGAGCACGGGGGGGCAGGAGGGACGCGGCCAGGGGGGGAGGGCCGGGACGGAAAAGGCTTGCGGGT